CGGGCCCTAGGACCCTGATACCATCAGACCCTGGGACCCTGACACCCTGAGACCTTTGGACCCTGAGACCCAACTGCCCAACAAACAGAAGGTCCCAACACACTAAGACCATGAGACCCTAAGGCAGCAAAGCCCCAGGAAGGGCCCAAACAAGGCTCAAGAGGGCCCCAAGCCGGCGAGCTTGACAGGACAGTTTGAAGGCATTAGGTTGCCAGCAGGCGAGCTTCAACAGTTGTTGAAAGCTTTAGGTCGCCAGCAGGCTCGGGCTCGCTTTAGGCTGCGAGCTTGAGAGGACAGTGCTTGAAATCAGTAGGTTGCCAGCAGGCTCGGGCTTGCTCTACGCTGCGAGCTTGAGAGGACATGTTGAAGGCATTAGGCTACTAACAGGTGAGCTTTAGAGGGTAGATTTTGGGGCGGAGACCTGCTCTACACTTGGATTCAGTGGCTCTGTGATGCCTGAGGAAGAATGTCCCAGCTGTGTTCCGCATGCTGTGCAGCGGTTTGACCCGTGTCTTTCACGTCTTTTACATGTGGTTGACGCTGCTTTACACCTGGCTTACACTGGTTTACACCCGATTTACACTGGTTTACAGCCGGTTTACACTGGCTTACACCAAGCTTACACTGGTTTACACCGATTTACACTGTTTTACACCGCTTTGCTCTGGTATACACGGGTGTACACCTGGCTTACACTCGGTTTACACTGGTTTACACTTGGTTTGCACAGGCTTACACCAGGCTTACGCTGGTTTACACATGGAATACCATGTTGTACACATGCATTACACCCTTGCTACACATGTCAATGGATGCCACTTGTTTTCCCCTTCTGGATGGGAGCTAGCCTTCACCTCAGACGTGCTTGGGTCCTCGGACCCCGGCCCCCAACCCCCAGAACGACCCGAACAAGAGGACGAACAGTGCCGACATGCATGGATCGGGGAGGGGTCGTGGCAAAGGTCGTGGCAGGGGTTGTGGCCACCTCGGAGGCCCCAAAACTCGAAGTCCGGCCGCTAGCGGCCAATCCCTACCGCGCGGCGCGCGCTGCAAATGGCGTGGCGAAACCGACGGGCCGCCAGCCCCGCGCTGCAGGCAAGCTGCCGACAAGGCCACAGAGCCCGACGCCCCCCGCGTGCGTCGGGAAGCAGCCGTTGCAGGCCATTCTGGAAGAGTCCGAGGGCTCTGGGACGGTCACAAGACAACATTCAGGGCCCCCAGAGGGCCCCAAGATGTGCCCAAAACGGCTCAAAGAGTGCCCCTAAGACGGGCTTGGGAGTGTCTTTTTTTGTGGGGCCCTCAAAACGAACGCTCCCAAGCCCCTCTCGGAATCTTCTTGGGGCCCTGTCAGGGCCCTCTTGGAGCCCCCTCAGACTGTTCTGAAGGGTCCGAGGGCCCTGGGAGAGCCACAAGAACGCCCTTGAGGGCCCCCAGAGGACCCCAAGATGGGCCCAAGACGGCTCAAAGAGAGCCCCGAGACTGGCTTGGGAGTGTTCATTTTGAGCGCCCTCAAAACAGCACTCCCAGGTCCCTCTGGGAGCCTTCTTGGGGCCCTCTTGGAGCCCCCCCAGGCAGTTCTGCAAGAGTCCTAAGGCCCTGGGAAGGCGACGAGACACCCTTGAGGGCCCCCAGAGGGCCCAAAGATATGCCCAAAACGGCTCCAAAGGGGGTTCCAAATCGGGTTTGGGAGTGTTCGTTTTGACGGGCCCTCAAAACGAAAACTCCCAGGCCCCTCTGGGAGCCTTCTTGGGGCCCTCGTAAGGCCCTCTGGAAGCCCTCCCAAGCCGTTCTGGAAGGGTCCGAGGGCCCTGGGAAGGCAGCAAGAACGCCCCTGAGGGCCCCCAGAGGGCCCCAAGATGGGTCCAAGACGGCTCCAAGACGGGCTCGGGAGCGTTCGTTTTGAACGCACTCAAAACGAACACTCCCAGGCCCCTCTCGAAGCCTTCTTGGTCGTGGGCCAGCAACCCCTATCGGTCCACACTTCGCGTCCTCCCCTCCCCTCCCATCGCCTGCCCGCCCCTCCCCTACCCTTCCTGACCCACTCATTATCACCCCTTTCCTCCTGGCCCCCCCTGCCTCTCTTCGCCCCCTCCCCCATTCACTCCCCACCCCCTTCTGCCCCCTCTCTCTCCAGTGAGAAAACGAGCGAGCGAGGGTGCGAGGGAGTGATAAGGCAGAGGGGCAGGGAGGTGCAGGAGGAGAGGGAGGACGAAGAGGATGACGACGAAGAGGAGGGATGGAAGACGCGGATGAAATTTATCCCGGAAGGGGGATTTATGGTCCAGGGCTTGGGCCCCCCCCCCACCTCCCCCGCAATGCTGATGCCATTGGGCCCCCCCCCCCGCGCGATGGTCCCCCCCGCCCCCCCCCCTGTGGGCGTGGCGTGGTGCTGCGCTGCGGTGCCCCCCTCCCCCCCCCTGTGGATGTGGTGTGGTGCTGTGGTGGTTCAGAGGTGGGCGTGGCGTGGTGCTGCGCTGCGGTGCCCCCCTCCCCCCCCCTGTGGATGTGGTGTGGTGCTGTGGTGGTTCAGAGGTCGTCGTCGTCGTCGTCGTCGTCGTCGTCCTCGTCGTCGTCGTCGTCGTCGTCGTCGTCGTCGCCGTCGTCATCGTCGTCATCGTCGTCGTCGCCGCCGCCGCCGGCGTCGTCGCCGCCGCAGCCGTCGTCGTCGTCGTGGTCGTCGTCGTCGTCGTCGTCGTAGTCGTCGCCGTCGCCGTCGCCGTCGCCGTCGCCGTCGCCGTCGCCGTCGTCGTCGTCGTCGTCGTCGTCGTCGTCGTCGTCGTCGTCGTCGTCGTCGTCGTCGTCGTCGTCGTCGTCGTCGTCGTCTCTGGGACCATACCATCTGGGGGGGGGTGCCCGTGGGCCCGGAGCCCGGGATTATATATACCTTTCACTGTGTGGCAACATTGAAGAAACCTGAATTGAAAGATAACTACAAGCTGCCGCGAGAGGTCCTCGATAAAAACACAAATCCTTATGGATCTGGCCGCCCTTGTGGCCATTGTTTTCTGGTATCTAATTGTATACTCACCTTTGACTATATAAACAATCTGCGCTCTCGGAGGTCCGCGATCGTTCAAGGTGGAACGACCGGCGCGGTGGCAGAAACGGGCGCTCGGGTCGTCACGACACGAACCCCTGCCGTAAGAGGGGGGGACCAATTCTCGTGCTGCATCTTCGGTGGACCTTGTCTGTCCCGTCGCGCCGCGATCCACGTCGAATCCGTGTCGAATCCGTGTCGAATCCACGTCGTCCTCCTCCTTCTCCTCCTCGTCCTCCTCTTCCTCCTCCCTGTCCTCCCTCCTCGTCCTCCTCCCCTTCCTCCTCGCGGTCTGGGTTCTGGGGCGCGTTCCCGCGGACATACTGTCGCACGGTCGGGGGCTGCTGAAGGTACCCCTGGCCCAAGGTAGCCCCAGCTTGTCGCCCCACTCTGGAGACCCTGGGGCCCTCTGGGCCTCGCGAGGGATTCCCTGGAGGCTGTGTGGGGCACCCTGGGCCAAGGCCACTTCTGGCAACACCCGAGCTCTTTCGGTTCAGAGCTGGGGCCCCGAGGGGGGCCCTTCGGACGAGTGGCCTCCGACGGCGCAGGCTCAGACGGTAGAGGCCTCCCAGCTGGGGTCCGAGTAGAGATGGGGTCGAAGGATCGCGCCGCATCGGCAATGCATCGCTGATGTATCGGCGATGCACCGGCGACGTCGGCGATTCATCGGCGACGTCGGCGTGGGGAAACACGAGCTCCATATCGAGCCGCATCGTCGATGCATCGACGATGCGGCGCGATCCTCCGACCCCATCTACTCAGACCCCGTCTAGGATGCCTAGAGACTGGGATCCCCTGTCTACCCTTAGGGTTAGGTCGGGCATGTCCTCCTACATGCGGATTTGGGGGGACAAAGAGAGCACGTCAATACATATAAGCAACAGTTGTCAAACGAGCACGACAAAGCATCCTCAGACTACTTTTTGACTATTCTGGAATGTTCCTCCTGTAGAGGGACATGCCCGACTTCCCCTTTAGGGCCCCATCCCTCAGGGCACCATCCCAAACATGCAAGGCAGAAACATGTCTTAGACCAACGTGGAACCGCGGGGGTCTGGACAACTTCCTTCTTGGTCTGATGTTTGCCCAGGGTCATTCGACGGCCCCGGCGGGGCCAGTGAAGGTTACCCATAATAATGGCGCTGACACCAGGCGCTGCGATGCTGTCGGAGTCTCGGATCTCTGGGGAGGCGGAGGAGAGGAGGAGAGGGAGTGAGGAGGAAGAGGAGGTGGTTGGTGGAGGAAGTGGAGAAAAGGGGGAGGAGGGGAAGGAGGAGGCCGAAAATAGCCCAAACTAGGCGCTCCGATGTTGTCGGAGTCCGTGGATCTCTGGGAAGACGTCGTCGCTTTCGTCGCCACGTCGTCGCCGTCGTCGGGGATTTACTGCCTGGATCAATCCAAACCCGGGTCAGTCAAGCCTTGCAAGATCCTGCACGATCCTGCGGGATCCTGCGGGACCCTGCACCCAAGCCTGGGTCCATGCAACCCTGGCCCTGCAGGATCCTGCAAGATACGTCGCTCCGACTGACGCCCATTTGCACTGACCCCTGTGAGGGGCAACGACGGGGGGGGACAGGCATAGGGGAGGAAACCTCGACCTGGAATGGGCGATACATCGCCGATAGATCGGCGATCGGCCCCCGATAGCAGATCCCCACCTTCCTGGGCGGGGTGGGGCTGTCGGCCCCTACTGGCGATCCATGGGCGACTGGGGGTCGACGCATCCCGCCTGTGCCCATCCCCCCCTATCGTTGCCCGTGAACCAGGAAGGGCGCCGCAGGCGCACCCACGGGGCGTGCCCAGCGCCGATCCAAGAGATCCGCGAGGCCCTCCGGAAGTTTACTCGTACCGATTTTCTCCGTCGAAGGAACGAGTTTAAGACGGATCCAAGACGAGGATGGCTTCGGGTGAGGACAAGTCGAGGATCGCTGAGATCCGGCGGCCGTCGCCGCGGGGCCCCGTCCTCGTCGCCGACGTCGGCGGCGTCCGAGGAGCTCGAGGGATCCTGGCCGGCGGTCGAGGGGGCACTGTCCCGAGGGCTCTCGGGCGGACGCCCGGCCGAGGGCACCGCGGGGCCCAGAGCTCGCCGGCGGTGCAGCCAGAGTGCACGGTGAGGACTGGAGGCTTCGGAGTGGGCACCAACACCAGCACAGGGGGTTTGCCTTCACATTGGGGAGATCAACCTTGATCTCGGTGGTGGTAGATCTGTCGGCCACCTAGGAAACCCGAGTATTACCGCCATCGCCGAGATCGGGATCTTTTTCCCTCGGTGGAAGCGCACCGCCGATGTTGGTGTTGATGTCTACATCGAGGCCTCCGAAAGGACGGGCATTACAGTGGGCGCGCATCAAGAAACCATATGAGCGACGATCAAAAACGGGTCTTACGCAAGACGGCACCGCGACCTTACGCCGCGGTTGACGCAGGCCGACAACGCGGCACGCTACATTGAAGACGAGGGGGCTTGCGCGCGACCTTACGCGGGCAGCTCACGCGCGAATGTTGGCGAAGACGACCCCGTTTTTGCGTCGCTCCAGTGCTCTTCGTCAAAGTACCCTGGGTTTCTTCTCTGCGCGCTGCGCGGTGACCTCTCGCGGCCGTCAAAGGAGCTGCTGGGTTCAGGGTGCTCAGGGTTTCCCCTCGAGTGCGCCTCGCGCGCTGGTTTGCACACGTCGGCCGGAAAAAAATGTAAAAACATGAAGTCGGAAGGCGGATCCAGTAGATTGGATCCAGGTGCTCCCAAATAATTCGCCGGTCCAACGGGCCAGAGGCGTGCTAAGATCTCCGGTAACTGGTAAACAGTATTTCTGGTTCGCGCGCGCGGGGCGGCCCCTGGGGGTCCCTGGATCAAAAATACCCTGAGAGGAGCCCGGGACACGCCCGGGACACGCCCGGGACACTCCCCTAGATCCTCCAGGATCGCCCCAAGAGGGCCCCAAGAGGCCCCCAACACACACAATCCAAGAGAGGTCCGAGACGCCCGAAGATCGCTCCACGGCGCCCAAGATGGCCTCCAGACGGCCCAAGAGGTCTCCAAGATGACCCAACAAGCCTCCAAGATGCCCCAAGAGGCCTCCAGGAAAACTCCCAAGAGGGCCCCAAGAGGCAAACATCAATGCTTTTTCTTAGGTTTTGGACAGATTTGGGCGTTTCAACCTTTTCGGTTCCCCGACGCCCCTAAACGGATCAAGAGGCCTCCAAGATCGCCCCAAGAGGGCCCAAGAGGCCCTCAAAAGGGCCCCAAGACGGCCCAAGACGGCTCCAAGACGGCCCCAGAGGCCTCCAAGACGGCCCAAGAGGGCCCCAAGAACGCCCCCAACACGGTCCAAGAGAGGTCCGAGACGCCCGAAGATCGCTCCACGACGCCCAAGATGGCCTCCGGACGGCCCAAGACGTCTCCAAGATGGCCCAAGAAGCCTCCAAGATGCCCCAAGAGGCCTCCAAGAGAACTCCCAAGAGGGCCCCAAGAGGCAAAAAACTGTGCTTTTCCATAGGTTTTGGACAGATTTGGGCGTTTTAACCTTTTCGGTTCCCCGACGCCCCTAAACGGCTCAAGAGGCCTCCAAGATCGCCCCAAGAGGGCCCAAGAGGCCCCCAAGAGGGCCCCAAGACGGCCCAAGACGGCTCCAAGACGGCCCCAGAGGCCTCCAGGACGGCCCAAGAGGGCCCCAAGAACGCCCCCAACACGGTCCAAGAGAGGTCCGAGACGCCCGAAGATCGCTCCACGACGCCCAAGATGGCCTCCAGACGGCCCAAGACGTCTCCAAGATGACCCAAGAAGCCTCCAAGATCCCCAGGAGGTCTCCAAGTGCATTCCCAAGGGGGCCCCAAGAGGCAAACAAACAATGCTTTTCCATAGGCTTTGGACAGATTTGGGCGTTTTAACCTTTTCGGTTCCCCGACGCCCCTAAACGGCTCAAGAGGCCTCCAAGATCGCCCCAAGAGGGCCCAAGAGGCCCCCAAGAGGGCCCAAGATGGCCCAAGACGGCTCCAAGACGGCCCCAGAGGCCTCCAAGACGGCCCAAGAGGGCCCCAAGAACGCCCCCAACACGGTCCAAGAGAGGTCCGAGACGCCCGAAGATCGCTCCACGACGCCCAAGATGGCCTCCAGACGGCCCAAGACGTCTCCAAGATGACCCAAGAAGCCTCCAAGATCCCCAGGAGGTCTCCAAGTGCATTCCCAAGGGGGCCCCAAGAGGCAAACAAACAATGCTTTTCCGTAGGCTTTGGACAGATTTGGGCGTTTCAACTTTTTCGGTTCCCCGACGCCCCTAAACGGCTCAAGAGGCCTCCAAGATCGCTCCAAGAGGGCCCAAGAGGCCCCCAAGAGGGCTCCAAGATGGCCCAAGACGGCTCCAAGACGGCCCAAGAGGGCCCCAAGAACGCTTCAAGAACGCCCCAAGAGGGGGTTCACAAAACAGAATTTCGAGCTCTCGGCCCTTAGAGGCCCCTGGGAGGCCCCAAGACGCCCCCAAACGCCCCAAGAGGCCCCCAAGAGGCCCTCAAGAGGCTTCAAGAGGCCTCCAAAAGGCCCTCTGGAGGCCTCCAAAAATCTTCAGGAGGCCCCCCATGACGCGTCCAAGACTCCAGCCATACGCGACTTGGGAAACGCGGGTCGGGGTGGTCCTCCTCCCCCGCGTTCGGCTCCCGACGCCGCAACTCCACACTGCAAACGACCACTCGGACAGGCGACCACGGTGCTACATTATGGGCCGGCGGAATGAGCGAAGCGATTAAATAACACAACGCAGCAAAAACACATCGGTTCTTAAAGTGGGAAGGCGCTTGAAGTAGATCGGAATCTGAGAATCTAGGCATACCCACATTCAAAGACCGGCGTGCGCAGTCAAAATGCACAGCAAGGGTGAGCGGTGAGGATGCAAGGGCCCTGGAAGGCCATGCGAAAGTTGCCAAAGACGGGCCGAAGGGGCAAGGATGCGAGGTTAACCTTGGAAAGCTGCTCATCCCTGCTAGGAGCTCCGACGGTCATATGAACTCTTCAGCTGGCGGGTTTTCCTGAGGAGGCCCCCCCTGGGAGGCCTGGGCTTCCGGTGTGTAGGCGATGTGCGCGTGGGCGGCAGTCGCGGGGCACCCACTGGAAACCTGCGCCAATCCTGACCAAGCCTATCCTTAAGTCGGAGGAGTATTTACAAATAGCAAAACAATAATGCGGGGACGATTGTTTGAAGTATGGTATGTTTGTTTGGGAATGTTTATTTGAATATACGCTTGGATATCAGAGTGAAGGGGGCCGAACGGTCATCCATTGTCCTTGGGTGCGTGGCTGATGTGAAGATCCTTGGTGAGGATTATGATTGTTGCGTTGTCGTTGCTGTTGCTGTTGCTGTTGTTGTTGCTGCTGCTGTTGTTGTGAATTCTGATTTCTGAAGAATAAATCTTGCTGATCCCCCCTCACCAGCGCATGCTCTTTCTTACTAGCCGAAATGTGCCCCTCGACGCTCGCACCCTTTTTTTTGACAAGGAAAGTCTTCCTGCTCAAACTGTGCCCCTGGCCCCCCGGATGACAACAACAACGGCTCCCGCCTGAGACTTTCTCCAGATTTGCTCAGGACCACCCCCTCCCGTCTGAGACTTCCTCGCAATTCACTCAGGATCGGCGCTCCCGCCTGTGACTTCCTCGCCATGTAGTCAGGGCCCCCCCTCCCGCCTGAGGCTTCCTCAAAACTGACTCGAGAACGGCGCTCCCGCTTAAGATCTCCTTGCGCTTGAGTCTAGACAATCGCGCTATCTACGCTCAAGCACCACGCTCGCGCCAAGGACGCCGTCACACTTTACTTGGGACTCGCGCTCTCGCCCTACTCAGGCATCCCGCTTGAATGTCCCACCGGCCCGTCAGAGGATCGCTCTAGGAGATGGCATCGGGCACCACACTCGCCCCCAACACCTCGCCGAGCAGCACCAGAGGTGCTACATGGCGCTGTTTATGGCGCGACCCATGGCGAAGCCTTTGTTAACCTGTGTTGGAATGGCTGGCGCAAGCCATGGCGCAAGCTGAATCGCAACTCGCGGCGCAAATCATCGTCGTCCCTCCCTCTTGCCCCTCTAATCCCTCCCTTCCTCCGATCCCTTCGTCCTCTCTGTTTGTTGTTTACCTTTCGTTTCCCTGTTTAGGGGCTTCTCCAATTACGCGCGGCCAGGGAGGAATATAATCCCCAAAACTGGGTACGATCGAAGACGAAAAGGGCGGGTATCCAGGGCTTGGGATATGCATAGTGAATGGCACGCGGGCAGGTAGGAGCGAGCAATATTGGAATGATGATTGCTGTTGTTGTTGTTGTTGTTGTTGTTGTTGAGGTTGTTGTTGTTGTTGAAATTGTTGTTGCTGTTGTTTGTCGTCGTCGTCGTCGTCGTCGTCGTCATCGTCACCCCCGCGACCCACCCCGCGAACCACCCTGCGACCCACCCCGCGACCCACCCGCGAACCCACCCGCGACCCACCCGCGACCCACCCTGCGACCCACCCGCGACCCACCCGCGACCCACCCGCGACCCACCCCGCGACCCACCCCGCGACCTACCGACCCACTTTGCGACCCACCCGCGACCCACCCCGCGACCCATCCGCGCCCGATCCACATTGGTTTGAAGACAAAATCGGCGCCTGCGGCGGCCTTCTCCAGAGTCTTGCAGACTGCCGACGTCCCCACCGCCCCCTCACTCTTACCTATACGACCACCCTTCAGGTGAGGGGGAAACCAACGTCTCACTCGATCGGTCTCATCATCGATCTCACTATCAATCTCACGATCGGTCTCGCTCGATCGATCCCACTCGATCGATCTCACATTCGATCTCACTCGATCTACTTCATCCGATCGATCTCACAATCGATATGACTATCGATCGCACAATCGATCTCGATATCGATCTCACTATCGGTCTCACAATCGATCTCACATTCGGTCTCAATATCGATCTCACTATCGATATCACAGTCGATCTCACAATCAACGTCATCATAATCATCAACATCATAGCCACCAACGTCATCAACATCATCATCATCGGGATACCATCATCATCATCATCACCTCATCACCATCATCATCGACACCAGCATCATCACCATCATCATCACTATCGGGACACCATCCTCGTAATCATCATCATCGTCATCATCAGCGTCATCATCAGGACACCATCATCATCATCGGAACACCACCACCATCATCATCATTATGGAAGCAGCATCATGAACAACATCATGAACAACATCATCATCTCATCATCATCATCATCGTCATCATCATCATCGGGACACCATCATCGTCATCAGCAACATCATAATCATCATCAACATCATCATCATCATCATCATCATCGGGGCACCATCATTATCGGGGCACCATCATCATCGTCACCATCACCATCATCACAAACAACATCATCATCATCATCATCATCATCATCATCATCATCGGGACACCCTCATCATCATGATCAACATCAGCATCAGCATCATCATCACCGGGCCACCATCATCAACACCATCATCATCACCTCATCATCCTCATCATCAACATCAGCATTCGAATCATCATAAACATCATTTCATTGGGACGCCATCATCGTCGTCATCATCACCAACATCATCATCAAGACACCATCCTCACCATCATCATCATCATCAACACCATCAGCATCAACCTCATCATCATCATCAACATAGGGGATCATCATTAACATCATCAGCATCATCATCATCTCATCATATCATACCATCAACACCATCAAGACCATCAACATCATCATCATCATCGGGACACCACCCTCATCATCAGCAACATCATCATCATCATCATCATCATCATCATCGGGACACCATCATCATCACCACCATCACCATCCTCATCATCATCATCATCAACATTGTCAACATCGTCATCATCATCGGGACACCATCATCATCATCATCACCATTACCATCACAATCATCATCAACATCATCATGATCAACATCATCAATATCATCAACATCAACATCAACATCAGCATCAACATCAACATCAACATCAACATTAACATCAACATCATCATCATCATCATCATCATCATCATCATCATCATCATCATCATCATCATCATCATCATCGGGACACCGACGGGACACTGGCGGGACACAGCCGGGACACCGCGGGCCACCGGCCCCCAGAAAGGAATCATTTGGTCCGGCCGCGCCTCAGCCGGAGGCGGGACACCGGCGGGACACCGCGGGCCACTGGCCCCCGGAAAAGAATCATTTGGTCCGGCCGCGCCTCAGCCGGAGGAGACTTTCTTCTCGCCCGCCTACGCAGCTTCGCCTCGCCCGCACGCACAGCACGCACGAACACGAAATCGAAACCGATTTCCCAGTAGGGGGGTTTCCGTTCCACCTCGATCTCACCCCCTTACCTCCGATCCGCATCTGCGGGGTGCTACGATCTATAATTTTTCGCCCCAAATCCGCCTGTGGGGGGACATGCCTGACCTAAGCCTATCCTCCCCAGACATGATCGCCTTGTGGAAAAAACGCGACGGGAGGTTTTTGACAATTTTCGGCCTCTGTGGGCCCTCGCCGAGCACCAGGACCGTCGAAATACGACTCAAGATGAAAAACCGGTCCGAGGGAAAGGATCGGGACTTCCGGGGACCGCTTATCGAAAAAATCATGACGTCGCATGTCTGGGGCGAGGTCGCCTGATTTCGCGCATTGCGCCCCGCGATGCGCTGCGCGTGGCTGCGCAGATCACCGACGGTGTTCCGTTTCTCAATTCTGGCGGCCTGCCTCGATCTCGGCCCTCGGAAGGCCGTTTTCGGGCCCTGAGGCAATCGCAAGTAAAATCTGGGGCGAGAAGGTGGCCCTGGGAAAGCGGTCGAGGCCTCTGGGGCCGCGGAATCAAGAAGTCAGACTGGCGGATAGAAAGGCTAATGATCACAATCGACATGTGGTCACAAGAGCGTGGGTCAGCAACACGAGCCCCTTCGCAGAGCTCCAAGGGCCTCTCTGAGATACCCAAAGCGAAGAGCGTTCAGAGGTGGAAAGCCCTGACACGAAGAGCATACGTAAAGGTACCCTTCCAAGGCTAGGGTGTTCAGAGCCCTCGTATCAGCTGTATCTCGGCGGCGAGCCCGTGGGGGAAGTGAGAAGGGGCGGGCCTTCTAAGAAAGCTCGAAGACCCCCTGCCTTCTGAGAAGTTTCCGGAGCCTTCCTCGAAGACGTGCCAGCTGCATCGACGATCGGCACTTGCCGAGCAATGCAATCAGCAACGTGCGGGGCGCGGCTGCCGTGACGGGCCCCCTTCCGTGGCGAGTCCCTCGCCCCCGAGGACCTCCCCTCTGGCCGCCTGGCTCACGTCCTGGTCGGTCCGGCCGCCTCTGAGCACCGGGCGAGGTCAACTGACCACCCAACCGATCCTGGCTGGCCCCGGTCGGGGCCATGATCGGCGATGTGGCCAGTTTCGGCGGCGAGCGAGGGGTGGGAGTGAGAGGGAGAAGGCCTTCTCAGAAGGCGGCGGGGCTGCTCAGAAGCCCCCTCGCGCCTTCTGAGTGGTTGTCTGTGCCTTCGGAGAAGGCTACGACAACTCCTCAGGAGGCCGAGGGACTTCTGTGAGCCTTCTGAGAAGGCCCGCCCCTGCTCACTCCACCCTCCCCTCGCTCGCCGCCAGTAGTTGGCAACGAGTGTGCTGTATTCGCCAGGATGCACCACAACGCCGTGCAAACATCGAGCCGCATCGGATCGCTGAAGCATCGCATCGAATCGGATCGACTCAGGCGAAGCTGAAATCGAATCGGATCGAAGCGGAACGGGTCCTGCAATAATGTTTCATCCCTTCTGCCAGCGCGCCTTTCTCTGTGCACGGCTTCTGTGTGTGTCTGTGTGTGTATGCTGTGTCTCTCTCTCTCCCTCTCTCTCTCTCCTAGACATGAGACGTCCTGTTTTTGTCAATACGGGGTCCCCGAAAATACCAACCCTTTTCCCCAGGACCGCTTTTTCATCCCGAACCGTTTTTTTGACAGTCCCGTGGCCCACCGAGGGCCACCTGAGAAATATGTCAAAATCCATCGGCACCATCGCAGCGTCTGCGCGCACGACGAGGACGAGAACGAGGACGAGGACGAGGACGACGACGGCGAGCGACCACCACGACGACGAGGACGAGCGACGACAACGACGACGACGACGGCGACGAGCGACACCTGGAGGTCTCGGAGAGGTCTCTGGAGGCCCTCGAAGGCGTTCGACGACGACGACGAGCGATGGCGAGCGACGACGACGACAACGACGACGACGACGAGCGACGAGGACGAGGACGACGATGACGACGACGAGCGACCACGACGACGACGAGGAGGACGAGCGACGGCAACGACCACGGCGGCGACGCCGACGACGAGCGACGTCTGGAGGCCTCCAAAGGTCTCTGGAGCGCTCCAGGACAAAAACCTCCCAGAGGTCCTCCGAAACATTCCCACGCGGCGCCCAGGGCGTCATGCGCAGCGAAAATGGCAAATGGGGCCGATGAAGCCGCGCGGGGAGTGACCGGACGACCAGAACTACGCTGCAATAAACGAAAATAGCCTTCCAAGATTTGTATTGATGTTCCCAAAAGTCTTCCCACGATCAGACACGTAATGAATGCCTCAGGAGGCCCTCGAAGGTGTTCGACGACGACGAACGACGGCGAGCGAGCAACGACGACAACGACGACGACCGACGATGAAAAACGACGAGGGCGTAGAGGCGATCTGGCGAGCACATGCCCACGTAAGCGACGCGCTGCCTCCACGTGGTGTATGAGTCGTATGCTCTTTACCTCTCTACTCCTTCCTCGTCCTCGTCGACGGCCTTCTCATCCTCTGGCCCCTTCTTCTGAAACCACTGCTACTTCCGCGCGACCTCCGAGTAGCGAGGGAAGCAGGACCGCAGCAGTTGTGCAATAGCCTGCGGGCACCACACGCATGCACAGCAGGATGCTGTGTCGGGACCACAATGGCCCGTGAGAGGTGCGACATGCGACTGCCACAGTAGCCTGCGAGAACCGTAGTACCCTGCGAGCGCTGGGCATGCCTGCCAGCACCACAGAAAAAAAAGCATCCGAAACATGCCCGCGAGCACCGCGCCACAGCAGCGCGCGAGCGCCACAGAGGCAAACACCCTGCGAGCGCCACAGTAGCCAGCGAGGAAGCGCAAGCGCTGCGACCACACCTTGCTGCGAAACTGTGGTGCACGAGTGCACGGCGGCAGTGCTGGGGGCGCACTGAGGGGGGTGAGCGTTACGTTATGGGGGGGGGGGGCGGAGGCCGTAGCGCGCGTTACGGCCCATAGGGTAGAAAAACAAGCACCGCCCGTCCTGATCTTACACGACGCGAGCACGTCTGGGTCTGTCTCTTTCCGACGTGCTCCCGGCGATCTGCCCATCCTCCATCCCTCTCCGGGAGGGCATGCGAGGGACGGGGGAGGGCGAGGGGCGAGGGGCAAGCTAGGTGCGCTCGCGCCATATCTGACATCCGATCACTCCCTCCCATCCCTTCCCATTGCGCTGACTAGTTGTCCTCTCACCGAGATACCGAGATGGGTGTCGCATCTGACTCTCCTGCCCTGGAATGGGGGAGGGAGGGAGGAGGCGAAGGACGACGACGACGACGACGACATCAGGACAGGCGAGCAGATGCCCCGGAGACCCGGGCGGCCCCAAGAAGTCCAAGGGTCGGAGGCGTATTCTGGATGGCATTCGTATTCTAGTTTGTTTTTTGTGGTCAGTTTTTGTTGTCGTCGTTTCCGTTGACGACGGTGTCGTCGACGACGACGGACTCACCACCCGCCGACGGCGGCGGGCGCCGACGGACGCCTACAGCACTCGAAGACGCACCCGCGGAATGGGTCGGAGCACCTTCCCCACAGACTCGGGGGTGAGAGGAGAGTAGTGTTCATATTGTGCAGTGGTACAGGGGAACGGGAGACGGCGAGGGAAGGGAACGTAGGAGGGCAAGGAGAGGAGAGGGGTGGGTGAGGGAGGCGGGGAGGGAGAATGGGAAGGAGGGAGGGAGAGGGGAATCTAACGTAGCACCCCGCAGATGCGGATAAGAGTGCGGGGGCGGTGGGGACGTCGGCGATGTGCGAGACTCTGGAGAAGCCCGCCGCAGGCGCCAAAGTTTCACAAGTTATGCCACGAGTTCGCCGCAGGTGCCGATTTCTTTGTTAAACCAATGTGGGTACGTCGCGGGTGGGTCGCAAATGGGTCGCGGGTGTAGAGGGCAGGAAATCCACCCATAACATCACCCCGACAAGCGAAGCCGTTTAGTAAAAAAACACAAGGAATGAATGGAACAGGACAGGGCTGTTTAGTCAACGGCAAGGGCCGTTTTAGTAAACGTCGATTGTAGGGTCTGGTGGATTTTCCTCCCTTGATGGTGGGTCGCGGGGTGAGTCGCGGGTGGGTCGCGGATGGGTCGCGGATGGATCGCGGGTTGGGTCGCGGTTGGGGCGCGGGGTGGGTCGCGGGTGGGTCGCGGGGTGGGTCGCGGGTGGGTCGCGGGTGGGTCGCGGGTGGGTCGCAATTGGGGTCGCGGTGGGGTCGCGGGTTGGGTCGCGGGTGGGGTCGCGGGTGGGTCGCGGGGTGGGTCGCGGGGTGGTCGCTGGTGGGGTCGCGGGGTGTGTCGCGGGTGTGTCGCCGGGTGGGTCGCAGGTGGGTCGCGGGGTGGGTCGGGGGTGGGTCGCGGGTGGGACGACGACAACAACAACATCAACAACACCAACAACACCAACAACAACATTAACACCAACAACAACACCAACACCACCACCAGCAACAACAAAGCAAGGGCGGCCAGCGCCGACCCGTGACGGGTCGGCGCTGGCCGCCCTGGCCTTAAGGCAAGGGCGGCCAGCGCCGACCCGTGGGACCCCCCCCCCCCGGCAACAACCACAACAACGACCCCCCCCCCCCCCCCACAACACCCACAACAACGCCATTGAATTCGATTTGTGTGAACATCTGCGGACCTCCTCTCTGGCACCAACGAATCCCTGCTGGCAAAAAGCATGTGTGCACCGGCGAAGCAAGGAATTCCTAGGAATCTTTAGGAATACCTGGGAATCCTTCGGAATTCTTAGGAATCCTTAGGAATGTCCTAGGAATCCGTGAGAATGTCCTAGGGATCCTTAGGAACCTGTACAGATCCGTGAGAATGTCCTGTCCGTGTATAGGATCCTATACAGATCCGACACGGACTGTATAGGATCCCATTCAGACCCGATACGGACTGTATAGGATCCTATACAGATCCGATACGGACTGTATACGATCCTATACAGATCCGATACGGACTGTATACGATCCTATACAGATCCGATACGGACTGTATACGATCCTATACAGATCCGATACGGACTGTATACGATCCTATACAGATCCGATACGGACTGTATACGATCCTATACAGATCCGATACGGACTGTATACGATCCTATACAGATCCGATACGGACTGTATACGATCCTATACAGATCCGATATCGATCCGATACTGTATACGATCCTATACAGATCCGATACGGACTGTATCGGATCCTATACAGACCCGATACGGACTGTATACGATCCTTCACAGATCTGATACGGACTGAATAGGATGCTACACACATCTGATACGGACTGAATAGGATCCTACACAGATCCGATACGGACTGCATAGGATCCTACACAGATCCAATACGGACTGCATAAGACCCTTTCCAGATCCGATACGGACTGTATAGGACCCCCTACAGATCCCATACGGACTGTATAGGATCATATACAGATCCGGTACGGACTGTATCGGATCCTATACAGATCCGATACAGACTGTATGGGACCCTGTACAGATCCGATACAGACTGTGTGGGACCCTGTACAGATCCGATACAGACTGTATGGGACCCTGTACAGATCCGATACAGACTGTATGGGACCCTGTACAGATCCGATACAGACTGTATGGGACCCTGTACAGATCCGATACAGACTGTATAGGGCCCTGTACAGATCCGAGGCCCGCACTGCGACCCCGTCCCACTGGGTCGCAGTGCGGGCCTCCGCTATATGGCAGAGGCCCGCACTGCGACCCCGTACCCCCCCCCCCCCCCCGCGCGACGCGACGCTGCGACGCGACGCGTCGCACGTCGCGTCGCGGGGGGGGGGGGGGGCGCGACGGTGACCGACCCTCCTGCCACCCCAAGGCATAGGAATCCACTAGGAAAGCTTCGAGGTCCTTACGGCAGCCCACGCGTTCCCACCAGCTACAAGTATGCGCCCGCTACCGCGCCGACCTCGTAGTGCTACTGGTAGTGGCAGTAGTAGTAGTAGTAGTAGTAGCCCTAGTACTTCTAGTCGTAGTCGTAGTCATGGTAGTAGTAGTAGTAGTAGTAGTAGTAGTAGTAGTAGTAGTAGTAGTAGTAGTAGTAGTAGTAGTAGTAGTAGTA